CTACCCCTAATTTTACGCCTGCCTTCAACTTTATCCAGACCCATTTGTACTACTCAAAATTTACCTTCGTTGATTATCCTGAAATTTTTATTTCTGGGTATTATTATAAACGGTATTATATTCATCAAAGCTTATGGATGCGGACTAATCTTTCAATATCCACACTACGAATTAATTATTTGGCAATCTCTACTAATTTATAATTGACAGCGGCCGTTACGTTAATTTAGTTTTTTTGTCGGTGCCTCTCCCTTGGAAGAGGTTTATAGTCCGGCTAGGTCCTAGTCAAACATCTATTTTCGAATTCGTTCTAATGGATTTTGGGTTTCATTTAACTTGACCCTCACTTTATAATAGGCCTTGTTATTGTCGCGACTAGGAGAATTGCTTCCATGAATCGCCGTGGGCTAATTAAAAGGACGGGTTGGACGCAACTTAGCGTTCGGTTGTGTTTGTGGGAGTGAATTTGCAAGCTTTGAATTGTTGCATGTAGTTGGTGCTTCCTGGCTAAGGCGCAAACTCTTCGGGGCTGAGGAGAGTACTTGTGAATTCAGTTTACACTCCTATGGCAATTGATCCATAAAAATGCAGCGAAGAGGTAACGAAGCGTGATGGAACAAAAGCAAAGAACATGAGCATGTGGGGAATGGAACTTGATGGAGAAGATCCTTAATGCAACGAAATTGTTCTGGACCTTTCTCATGGTGGATGATAGGCTTTTTATGCCCCTTTAAAGGGCTAAACTAAATAAAGAAATTATGCGATAGTCATGGTTTTCCTCCAAACATCAGCGTAGAGGTAACTGAGACTATTGTAATCCTAAGAGTCTTGTTTTGAAAAGATACTTTAGTTATTTGAATTGGGTAAGGTTCACGAACTAATTTGATAACTATTTATTCCGATTACCCTCGCGGTCCTTCCCCTTAAAAGGCATGCTAATGCCACTCCTTTGTGACCACAGAAGTTCATTGTTCCATCAATTTCGTAGTAACATAGAAAATAACTTTTCCGCTTGGAAGAGAACATTTTGACTTGGAGCCACATATCTTCTTTTGATGACATGATTATTCATCCATTCTACGCATGAAGAAGAATTGAGATTGCTCTGCCTCTCGTTCTTCGGCTCCATCGCCACTGTTCTCAACGGATTTTCGACTTTTATAATGCGAATGACTCTTTCATTCTTGCAATTTTCTTTTTACTTATAAGTGAAAGTGCGTTAGCCGTTTGCCTCCATTATTATGCCATATGTCACGAGTTTTATTGACTGTGTTCTGATCATGGCAAATGGATAAAGTAATTAGCAAACTGACAGAATTGTTTGTTGCTTTAAAACCGGTAAATTTGTATGCGTCACGCCTTGTTGAGACTACCTATCATGACTCTCTGAATAACACCCGCCGCGGACCTGTCGCCAAGCTTTAGCAAGGGTTTCAAACAGTAGTATAAAGGCATGTGCACAAATTCTTCTTGCTTGGTTTTGGTCGCAGGTACTGTTAAATATTGGCAGGTTGTGGAATCAAATTTGTGTTATTTTTAAAACCACTCGTTTTCATTATCGATCTGTCCACCTATCAGCTTCTTGCAAAGATGTTATGACCTATTCATTCAGTCGCCTACGATTTTTTTTCCTAAAGATGAGCTTGTTTTTAAAACGATGTCTTGCTTGTATACCAGTTCAATGTCGTTCCGTTTCTTTCCGCCCTGCTAATAGAGGAAATTTTGTTTATTTCTTTGTCTGGAATTAGGCCCAAGGGAGGAG